TTTTTGCTATGAATAATCTAGTGATCATAATGCTATTCTATTACGATGATGATATATATCAAAGATGATATCTAGCAATGCATTGCTTTCTAATAACCACCAAGCTTTATTTAATTATGACTAAAATGAATATGATTGAGATGTATACATTGTAACACTAGGTCAGGTGACCTTCACCAGCATGGGCCAGCTGAAGGGGTCAGTTGCCTTTAACTCATTCAAACCCTGCGACTCACAGGGGCGCATTGTACAGCACTCGAATCAATGAACCCCAACTCTGGACATACTCCTTTGCTGAAATACCTTTTGTCAAGGATATTTTAAGGACAGCTTGGGTGAGTGTATTTGTTTTCCCAAAGGGACTATCATATGCCTCCCCGCTTCTATTGAGTTGTATTCTGCAGGCATTTCCAACAACCCGACTTTAGAGCCCTTATCCCCGATCCTAGGGGACAGTATGAATCCATCCGCTATTCAACACACATTCAGGAGGCTCCATGCAATAAACCACTTTGCTTCGCACAACATCGTCCCACGATACGCTCATTCCGCTGCTAAATTCAATTGGCAAGACCCACTAGCCACGACGCATTTATATACCCAGGACGAACTAGCTATCCAAGACACTGCAAGGAAATATTGCCAGGAGAAACTAGCCCCCAGAGTTCTAGGTACAGTAATTGCCTGTAATCCATCAAGCTGTGCGAGGTGGCGCGCAACGAATTGGAACTAAATATTTCTGTTCAGAGGCGTATCGAAATGAATATTACGACAAGAAAATTATTCAGGAGATGGGTGAGCTAGGGCTTCTTGGTGCCACGATTGAAGGATATGGATGTGCTGGTGCCAGCACTGTGGCCTCTGGTCTCATCACCAAGGAAGTTGAAAGGGTAGACTCAGGCTACCGATCTGGCATGTCTGTGCAAAGCTCACTGATCATGACGGGAATATACAAATTTGGCACTCAAGAGCAGAAAGACAAATACCTCCTAGATCTTGCTAAGGGCAAGAAATTAGGCTGCTTCGGATTGACAGAGCCAAACCATGGCTCTGACCCAGGCTCAATGGAGACAGTCGCCAAACCACACCCAACCAAAAAGGGGTACTATTTAATCTCAGGCTCAAAAACATGGATCACTAACTCTCCAATTTCCGACTATTTCCTTGTCTGGGCTAAACTTGAGAGCGTCGGCAAGATCAAGGGCTTTATTATTGAACGAGATAGCTGTCCACCAGGCACATTTGAGACGCCCGTGATCAAAAATAAGACCGCTCTCCGTGCATCAATCACCGGTATGATTCAAATGGATTCATGTCCGGTACCTGAAACGAATATGCTCCCTGAGGTTGAAGGGCTTGTGGGCCCGTTTACCTGTCTGAATAGCGCAAGACTAGGAATTGCATTTGGGTCCATGGGTGCACTGGAGGACTGTATTGATCGGGCGCGCACCTACGCCCTTGAGCGGAAACAGTTTAAAGGAAACCCACTCGCTAAGTATCAACTCGTGCAAAAAAAACTCGCAGATGCTGCTACAGATGCTGCTTATGGCACCTTGGCGGCAATTCACGTTGCCAGGCTTAACGATGAGGGGAAGTCTGTACCTGAGATGATTTCCATAGTCAAAAGGCAGAATTGTGATCGTGCGTTAGTTGGAGCCAGAACGTATGATCCAGAGTTTTGTTCTTCCAACCGCCCAAGTGTCCATCCTCAACCTTTCCACTTCTATTTTTCTTTGCTTGCTTCTTTTTCTTCTTTTTCTTCTTCTTGTCATTCTCCCCCTCTTTGAAGTATGGTGATTCTGACCTCAATTCCAACAGCCTCCAGGAGATTTTCGGTGGTAATGCTGTTGGTGATGAATACCATATCGGCCGTCATGTAGCAAACCTTTTCGTTACCCAAACATATGAAGGGCAAAGCGATATTCACAGTAAGTATTTCACTCCTTGCTCCCTCAACTGTATGATTCTACCTTTACATCTATATGAGTAGTTGTATCCCTCTGTCAAAGAAAGTCATTAAGACAGTGATAACTTAATGCATTATTCTCTGCAGGTTTAATTATTGGTCGGGCTATTACTGGTGTTCAAGCATTTGCTTGAGTATTTAATTCCTTGACTGATTTCTCAATTCGAATCTATCCTTGGTCATTTATTTTCTTCACATGATTTTATTCTTAGCTTTAAAGAGTGTAAATTTTAATCATCTATTCTTCTGTAAAGTGCACTAAGCATTTTACTAATTTGATTCTCTGTCGCCGTACAAACCAAACCAAATGTGTATAATTCATGGTCCCACTGGCCACTCTTAACTGTGAAGACTTGAGTTCAACACTAGTTCACGACTTAGATATCCTCTATTCTTACCTCTTAATTATCTGTCTATTTGCATATCTACCTGCGTGATATCTGATCGATATGTATCATTGCTAGATATCATCAGTGGATATCATTTAGCCATCCAGTAAGCTAGCATTGCCAGGTCGCTTGATGATGATGTTTATTCTCACACAGATTGATTGGATATTGAGCAGGCAGGTTGATAGATAGATAGGTAGCATTCTATATTTTATTGACAATCGATCGGATATCAAGCCGGTAGATATGCAGGTAGGCAGACAATTCAGAGGTAAGAATAGAGGATATCTAAGTCAGTTGTGAACTAGTGTTGGAACACAAGTCTACACAACACAAAGAGAGTAGAAGATTATTCGAGTTCTGAAAATGTTCTCTACAAAGTGTAGATCAATAAACTTCAAGCAACTTTTGTTAACCCCCTCAGAGCTTTGTATGATTCTCAGAGACTTCGCTTCGCTCCGTTTAATAATAGGGACAGTCTACCACAACTTCCAAGCACCCCCAAAATGGGAGTGGGAAAACACCCCTTTAATTTAAATCCGAGCGACAAACGAAGCGTTAATTCACATTGTCTTAAATGGGGGATAAGACCCCATTATAGCGGGTGCAGTGCATAAGAGCACTGCAATGTAAAACTGGAACGAAGGCCTGAAGGTTATGTAGTTGAGGGAGTAACTGTGAGTGGGCAAGCGGTCAGTTAGCTAACTGGCAAACCTCCATTTTTATATAGCGTAGATGGGCAACTAGCTATCCAGCGTCTCTCTTCTAGCTAGAAATCGCTGTTACAGGAGAGTACAAAGCAGCTAGGAAGGTAGCTGGCTAGTACTCTCTATTTCATAAGGATTGGTCGGATATTGGGCAGGCAGGCAGAGAGCTATATAGTGATCTCTATTCCAATAGCAATCAAAGTGTGTTTCACTGGTAGGCAGATAGGCAGTTAGATAAGATACTCATTGGGACAAACAGTGCAGTTGACAACAAGTCTCAAGCGTTATTCATAAATCAAGTCACTTGGATGTTCATCAAACCAAATCTGAGACTCGACTATCATTCCATAAATCCTAGTCATGAAGACATTCTGAGGCTGAATATCGCCCCGATAGCCTTTCCACTGAAATTGTGTGTCTAAAGCCATCACACAACCTATCCGTACTGATTCAACAACGCCAGAAGATGCATGGCGGAGAATCATATTCTGGAGTTCAAAAAGTAGTGTGCAATGGAGACGACAAAGGTAATTGATTGATACGTGGTGCTATCAAAAACAGATAAGCCAATGCGCGTTCTGAGGTACTATCTATGCCATTAAAAGCCGCTCTAATTTTGTGTTCATGGAAGGGTGCTTGGTACAAGCCCAGGTTTTAAATAGAAATATCTTTCGCACTGAGAGGACAACATATTCTATGCTCACACATCTAAGCTGAATTGCCCTCTTTTTCTGTTGAAGTCGTCGTTTGGACCGATTGTCTCGAATTAATTCCATTGCATGTGCAGGGTACTAGCAAAGGACCATGGATACACTGTTAAAACGACTGACACGATCGGAAACCGGTTTCCACCACCCTACCTGTTCCAGCACGGCCACAGGACATTTTCTTGACATCAAAATCAAAAGGAACAATGCGAATAATGGCGGTAGCAAGTTGTCGAAAGGTTATGTCATTACATGAAGCACGGAAGACATCAACCGAGGTAGTTGGAAGCTCTTGCGACAACCGAATCTGATAATGATTTCTGTCTTTTTTCCTAATCAACCACCCATGAAGAATACACAAGACATTCCCGGTGATCACCGAAGGGATAAGGGATAAGGGATATCATGCTGGGACCGCCACCTAGTGGAAATAACGTGATAAAATGTATCAAACACCTTTTCTGAAGAGAAAGCACCCATGTAAGCATCATTCATCAGCGCCTGTCAGGTCCATGGAGAAAAAACCCGGTGTAGTATCGGAGAGTAAACTGAATAGAGATAGTAGGAAACTTGAATCATTAGCGGCGGGAGCAGGAGTAAACATTCCCTATTGTCAGTATATGCAGCAATCAGCAGCAGTAAGCAGCAATGCCCTCAACAAACACGTTATTCTCCCCCTTCAATGATGATGTGGATGAGATGAGACATTGCTCCAATCTGACAGTTTGGACTTTCGCATATCAACCAAACAACGCTACTGCCGTTTGGATATGAAGCGTAGTAACTATGCTGTTGGCCTTGAAGAAAATGAAGATAGAGATGATGAAATTTGCCATAAATATATTGGTACAGATTGACTTGCTTGCTTGATAGACAAGATCTGAAATTTAGTAAAATTGTGTGAGTCGACTTGGACTTTGTTGGACGTTGCCTGGCATTTGTTGGAGGGATTAGATTGGGTGATTCGTCCCCTTTTTCCACCAATGGCGCTAGTGATTGAACTCTTTTGTGTTAGGCCCCTGGGCACCTGCCCCACGTGATCATATCACTTGGGAATGACTGGGGATTAACCTCGAGTTTTTGCACGCTTAACGGCATTTGGATCTTTTGCTCAACAATTCAACATCAAGCATTAATGTCAACAGGCTTCTGTCGCCGCTTTGTCAATATCCGTAAACGCCTGTATGTGATACAGTATTCTGCACTCCCCTCGCTTTATTTTTAATGCACTATGGCAGACGCTGAGCTTGAAGAGGTACGCATATACATGACCAGTATTCCAAAGCTCGAACCTCTCAGGCACTCTAGTACATGTTATCCACCTTCTAACGGTTCCTTCTGATTATCCACATATCCGAAGATCCGAAAAGCTCGCCTTGCACAACTGCAGGCACAAGCAGGACGAGGTGCAGGGCCAAGTGACCGCTCGAACCTCGATCAGAGGCGGTGGGTTTTGTCTAGATCCGATGTGTTCGCATTTCAGTCTAGCTCTCGTTTACTAACTAGTGTCTCTACGTATCAAACAATGATAGACAACAAGAAGGTACAAACCCAAATGTCTAAATTTTGTCTAGTCTGTCCTCACCACTCTCCCCCGCGCAGCTGCGTTGGTAAATACATATTCCCACTAAAAAGCTACACTGAGATTAAACAAAAAACACCAAACTCATTGCAAAACTCTTTCGCAGCCGATGCCAGTCAAGCCATCCTTAACCAAATCCTCCTTCCAGAAGCAGCTGACCGTCTAGGTCGGATTAGACTGGTGAAGGAAGAGCGAGCGACAGATATTGAGAAGAGACTAATCATGCTGGCGCGAACGGGCCAGTTGCAGGCCAAGGTTACAGAAGAACAGTTGAAGGAGTTGTTGAATGCAGTTGCAGAGAATAAGAAAGAGGAAAAGATCGTGATTAATAGGAGGAAAGATGGATGGGACAATGATGATGATGATTTGTCGGATTTGCGAAGGGGTTTCTAAGCAAAATATAGGCTGTGAAAATCAGTATAACGACGAAAGCGAAGTGAAAATTGACGAATTGATGGTATTACTTGTTGACAGCGGATTTGAGGGAAGATATCCGGATATTTTGCACATGGCTATACACGATGTAATGTCCGTCTGTTTATGATAAACTACGCTGCAATGAGAACTAACGGCCTGCAAGCTGAAATGGCCCCCAGAATGGAAGAATATTGATTGAAACAGAGTAGCCAGTATTCCATTTCTACATGGTGGCCCATAATATCCCCATGAATATGAAAGAGCTGAATATAACTAGTGGTTACGTACCAATTGATCAAACCCAAAAATTTCAATAGAACTTGAAATTCTGTAAATCAATTGCCAACAACATTTTACTTCAGTTTAATTTCAGAAAACTTGTATGTAGCTCTAGAAAAATGTTTGTGGGTAGTCTCGAAACTATCAGAACATGTGCACGCAGGATCTTCGCTGCCTGACGATCCAAATAAGCTGTGCCCACCCTGTCACCGCCGATGTGACGGAACGCTGAGTGGTCATAGAACGCTCTCTGAAATATACGGATTGGAATATGGTCGTTTGAAACATGTCCTCCATACAGAGGTGCGGAACAAACTACCTTGCACACGCCAGAAATCCACCATGAGGGCCGGCATCATTTGAGTTGCAGAACGGTTGGGTATGGCGTTGAGTACAATCTAGAGGTTATGAAGCAACAATTCAGCTATTTTGGGCCATAGCCTGGCAAGCATTGGGAATCACTAGCCTTGAAGTTGTGGGGGAGATTAGTATGCTATGCCTGAGATTCCCAAACTGATGCCATTCCGTATGATAACCGGAACAGAGCTTTGCTACAATACCTCTAATCCAGTTAGCACACATGTTGAAGGGCTGGAGTAACAGACCAGCAGTCATGAGCTTGTTCAATGAGTGGTCATACTATTTTGGCTCCGTTGACTGCTATGGTTAGCTCTTAAGTATCCTCTCCCAAAAATAAGATAGTTACAAGTTGGCGTTGCAATAGTACAATACAACATTTCTCCCTTCGCTAGATAAATCATATATTGCGACTCTGTCTTCATAGATGATGGACAGCTTTTACGCAAGTTTTGGGGCTTCCATTCCAAATAGATATTTACTTTTACCTCCATATGTGGAACCAAAAGCGTTAGAGAAGGACGTTTATTGCGGAAATCATCGCCGAAACGTTGACGGGTCATGACCTGTTTCCGACAAAATAAGTTTGGGTGGGATAGCTACACATTTTAGCGCCATTCAAAACTTTGGTGTGAGATCCAGCCGCGCGAGATTTCATTTTCCTTTCCTTATTCTAAAGCGGAATCTCAACCCATCATCACTATCAGACCCCCCTGAAACTCGCGTATCTCGAGATCGCTTACCAATCCTTGAAGGTGGAGTGAGGGATCTGTTTCGCAGAACAATGGGGTGTGAAGTACTTGGAGTCTCCTTGGTCCGATCATTGGAAGTCTGACATGCGGACTTCGGCTGCCTTGTCCTCCAGCACGTCTCGCCAAGGCCAGAGTCCTTCCGCTTAACTTCTTCCAACGGAACGATAACAGGTTGAACAGAATGCGGAATTGGACAGCCATGTCCCTTCCTCCGAAACTTTTTAAAGTTGTTTCGTCCACTCCAGCGCTCATCATACCTGACGCTGTGGGTTGGGTCTACCTGTTCGTGAGACATTGCCGGCATCACCATCTCTTCAACAATTGCAAGGTTCCGCAATTGTCCGATCTCAACTCCTTCCGTCATCGCACAGAAGGGTGCAACCTCTTGTTCTCGCTGCTGCATGGCTTCTTCATCAACAGCCAGGCGACGTTGCCGGGCCGCTTCCATTACATTCAACCTTGCCCTCTTTGGTTTCTGCGAGGCTTCAGGTGGAGGGGTAGATTTGGCTCGTTTCCGACCTTCTGCAAGGCGTATCTTCATCGCTGCAGCGCCTGGCAAGAGTTCTGAGACAATCTCCTCGCCTTCAGACAAGTGTATACTTGTCTGAGATTGGCCCAGTAAGGAGTCAGGAATCCGAGCCTAGAAGGAGTCAGCGCACGAAAATATATAGTTATCTAGGAGCACACGCACTTGAGAGGTTTCCTCCGATCCGCTACCATGCTCCAGAGTATACATCGGAATGGAATCCATGTCGAATCCATCGTCGAATGTCTTGAACTTGCTAACGTATGTCCGCGTACGAGATCGTTTCGATGAGTGGCTGGCAGCCTTTGTGTTATGTAACCCCATCCTCCTGGGTTCATCATCCTCCATCGGCACTCGTTCGCCGAGTACTTGCGATTCACTCGCAAATAGATTCATCCGGTAGGACCGGATAAGCGAGGATGCGTCATTGCCGAGTATGGCATCTAGAAACTCATTTGTTTCAACAATCTTCTGACCTGTTAGTGAAGCGACCCTATTTTCGATTTCTATATCCCAATCGCAATGCTCGTCCGCCTTTCGAAACTGCACGAGAATAACACCCCCACTGCCGTCGAAATTTCCTAATCCCTTGTTACCCGCAACTTGTTTCATATAATTAACTATATCCTCCGCAGTGGTTCTTCCACGTTCAATCTCGTAGAGCAAAGCTTTTCCATGACCGTTCGTAATCGGGCCCTGTAAATCATCAAATCTGCTACCATCGCAGAAAATAAATGTATATCCCTCGAATACGTTAACTCTGCTAGGATCTGGTTGGTAGGCTGCGTCCGACCTCCGGGAAGGTTCTTTGCCCCGAGGGGGTAGGTACTGTGTTGGGTCCGGCCAGAAGGCATCAAAATCCTCCTCCAGAGGACAAAGTGCTTCTTCACTCTCAAGGTCGCCAGGTGCCGCCGCGTATACAATGGCCTCAATGTACGATTTGTGTACGATGTGTCTTCCATTAATCAATGCCTGAAGCCCATTTGAAGTATTGCGTTTGTTTTGAACAACGTGGGTTGTCTTGCCAACAACATAAGGGACTACGGTTTTGATATCGAGTTCTTCAAGGCTAGAGCGAGCTTGGCTGAGTGGATCATTCGTCTTTGACGGAAGTGAGAAGCTCAGAACGACAGGGTGCCACTTGATCCTATAAGGGTCAACCAACATCCATCATAGTGAATTAATTTCAGTGCAGAGTATAAATACCTTAGAGGGTGTGGATATTTGCCAATCTGGATGACGTGTTCGTCCTTGTTGAGCTCCTTGCTCAAGCCCTTGATCGGCTCTCCGTCAATTATAGTTCCACACTTCGTCTTCTGGTCGGTAACTTTGAGCCGCGATTTTGCGTGGACATGTAACTTCGAACAGTGTCAGTGGCACACACAAGAGCACACGACATTAAGTGACTTGCAGACATAATTAGACATGCGTATATATTTGGGGGAAACATACTCCATCCCCCGGCTTTACCCGCCCGACTTCAATTACCAAATGTTGTCGCGAGATAGTTACGTTGTCGATTGCATGGTGCACTGGATAAAATAGTCGAACACGGTGAGCAGGAGTTAACGGCGGGTTAAATGAACATATTTATCACGAGCTTGGGAGAATGCCTTACCTCCGTTCTTTTTCACTCGGCCAAATAGATATTGCTTCCCGGGCTTCAGCCATACTCGTTTGCCTACCACCAGGAGAGTTAGTAAACCCCAGACAAGTGTGGATGGCGATAGAAAAGCAGAGGGCGTACCACGGAGGAAATCACCATCGGACGATAATATCCACATTTCGGACCGTTAGCGGTATTCCGACGGCAGAACCCAGCTTCGATCCCAAAGCACCATTGACGCACATTAAATTCTTGAATGCTCTACGACCAAGCCCTGCTCCACGTGACCCACACCCACAAACACGAAAACACGTGATCCTGCACCCTGCCCCAAGGCCGAATCATGAGCATGATACAGCCTGAATCATATCAGCGATTTGGGAAGTATCCACAGTATTCTGATCACTTTAGATATACGGCATAACCATGTTCTCAGTTTCTAAGTTTGACAAGGAATGAGAATGGAATCTTCCGAAAACAATGGTGCAGATGACGACCGGTCTACGAAACCAGACGAAACACTCAAATATCATCTTCTTGGGCCCTCACTGACCAAGGCTGGGCAGGGTACGGTAGATCAACAAAAGGTCGGCTAGCTGTGTGATAAATCCATGCATCAGTTCCTTTACGGGATGAAATATTAAACACTCGTGTATCACAGGTATCCGAAATCATATACAACGCGTCAAAGGGCTCCAAGTTCTTTACTCATGAAAAATTTCGCGACCAACTATTAACGACAAAAATCGAGCGAATTCTTGCTCAAAAGCAAAAGCTAGAAAAAAATGATCTTTTATTATATACCCGGCGGGCGGACGAGTACCTTGCTGAGCTTGAATTGGGACGCGATCTCTCCCAGACCGTTGTGCATATCGACTGCGATGCATTCTTCGCGGCTGTTGAGGAACTTGACCGACCTGAACTACGCGAATTACCCATGGCTGTTGGTAAGGGAGTTTTGACGACTTGTAACTATCATGCGAGGAAATTTGGCTGTCGAAGTGGTATGGCTGGTTTTATCGCAAGAAAGCTCTGTCCAGACCTCATCCTAATTCCGCAAAATTATCAAAAGTATGCTGCCAAAGCTGAAGAAATCCGAGCGATTCTCTCATCTTTCGACCCCCAATTTCAAAGCGCTAGCATCGATGAAGCATATCTGAACATAACTGCTTATTGCGCAACCAATGAGATTGAGCCAGAGGTGGTTGTTTGCAGGCTACGTAGTCAAGTTATGGAGCAAACAAGAGTGACAGTTTCTGCTGGCATTGCACCTAACGCGCGGATAGCCAAGATTTGCTCGAATTGGAACAAACCAAATGGGCAACACTATGTTCCCAACGATCGCTCAATTATTATGAAATTCATGTCCGAAATACCAGTACGCAAAATCAATGGCGTTGGCCGCGTTTTTGAAAGGGAACTTGAGGCCATTGGTGTCAAGAATTGCAGCGACATATTCACACACCGCGGAGTTATTCTGCCATTATTTGGAGAAAAATGTTACAGATTCCTGATGCAGTGTTACTTAGGGTTGGGAAGCACCAAAATACGACCAGTCGAAGAATCTGAACGAAAGAGCGTCGGGACGGAACGTACATTTAGAGACATAGGCGACATGGCTGACTTACAAGAAATGCTTCAGCTGACAGCCCTTGAACTGGAAAAGGATATGCTTCGCACGCAATTCAGAGGCCGGACATTGACGCTCAAAGTCAAGCTTCATACGTTTGAAGTATTATCTCGCCAAGTTGTGTTACCGAAGGCTGTCTGTTTATCAGACGACATCTATGATTATGCGTTTCCAATGCTGATCAGGCTGCGCAAAGAGATGCCAAATATGAAAATACGTTTAATGGGTCTGCGATGCACAAACTTGAGTAGCATGAGGAAGCCAGATATTAACTTTTTTGGAGGCACTTATACTAGTAGCGTGCGGCCTCAATCCCATTCCTTTGTTGGTAATGCGAGCTGCTTTGGAGAAGAGGAGTTCGGTGTACTCAATATCGAGGATACACACGATAGATTGCGAGATTCAGATGCCACCAGAAGAGATTGGGACACCTCTCACCGTCCAAATGGAACCGATACAGACAGTCCTATTCCAAACCAAATAAATGAGTTGGATCGAATCCCAGAAATGTGGGACTGTCCAATTTGCAAGAGTCCGCAGCAAGCTGATAACTCGTCTTTCAATCAACACTTAGATTTCTGCCTTTCCAAACAAACTATCAGAGAAACTGTTAGAGGCACATTAGAGAAGTCCGGGCAACAACTGACAAACAAACGAAAGTCTGACCTTCCTGCTAACACGAGGGAAGAAAGTGTGAGGAAACGTCCATTCTTTACATAAATGCAACGACCACGTTTGTATATCTATTTCATGCTGGGATGTTTTAGATCTTGTTTGCCATGGTACTACAGATGTATTGGAAACATTTTTGGCACAGCTTGATTACAAGTCCTTGCATGGGCTAGAATTCATTTGAGGGCAAGGGGTGGGTTGAGATGCTGTGAGACCTGGGTTTAATTAGGTCCAGTAACCACTAGTTATCTTTCTACTTTAAACGAGTATGTCTGCTTAGTCATCATTTCCTTATCGCAACGCGATACGCTTCACGCTAAGACGTTTTTGGGAATGTTGTTCTCGCCCGAGAGCCGTTCGTGACAGCCAAGTCAACGTCCACGCTCCACAGCAACAATAATAAACGACGTCACGATCACTACCTCCCGCGACGAATTGACGCCGGTTCTGGGCTTGTGCACCTATCTACATGACTTAAATTATTCTGGCTTCGGCCACCATGGTCGCCTCCATATTCGAAACCCCAGAATGTCATAATGCGCGACCAACTTTTGCACCCTTCGAACCCTCGACTTGGTCCCCCAAAAATGGCCCCAAATAAACACCCCAACGGCCAGCAGGCCAAACCCTTCACCCCCACAATGAGTTCTACATTTCGAGCCACAAAGAACCCTCTGACTCCTAAACTTGCGGGCTATACTCCCACCCGCACTACTCGCAAAACCGTAGAAACACAGTCTGGCCAGCAACAGCGAAATGGAATCTCCCGCGCCTCAGCTTTGAACTTAACGTCCTCTCTTGTGAGCGACAATGCCACCCCCAAATCGGCTTTCCGACTAGCCCGACGAGATGGAAGCTCTGCAGCGGAAACGGAAACGTCTCCGGCCTTACAATATCCCCCATGTACAGCTACCAACGACGCCCCGCAAGTTGTCTCACCAGTCGACAAAATTCCAAAGCGCAATAACCCCACTGTATCGATAGCTCGGTTAGCGAGAGCAAGGAGTGTCGCAAACGAGACGCAGTTCGTTGCATCGACTTCCCGCCCTACCTCATCATGTGGTAGTTCCGCAACCTCTTCCATGTTTTTCCATGTGAACGATACTCGATCCCCGCCGTCCCCGCGCGATCTTGACACCAGACCAGGATCTCTACAGAAACAAAATGCACCAACCACCTTTCTTTATGCCGACGGGACCATTTCCGATGACTCCCATCGGGAAGGTCCAAAACCGGCTACCCTATCAGAAAAGGCACCCCGCGTTTCCTCGCTCAGACCGCCGGACCTCGTATTTCCTCCACAATCGAAACAGCCCTATACACCACCCACATTAGCCAGAGATTCCCAAATAATCCGACATGACCGAATGCCTGCAAGCTCACATTCCACACCAAGTCCGACCGTGGACGCCCGACGAGACCAACAGTCACTAACCCAACATGAACATCCCGCCATGTCCTTAGATAGCATCAGGCGTTCTTCCCATACAAAATCTACAAGTATGGACACGTCGGAATATGGGAGACGTCATAAACAGGATTTGGTGGCACATTTTGGCGGAATCCCGCATCTCGCATCGACTAACCACCAGCCTTCGCAAAATGTGAACCAACATGACGCCAATTCGAGGATTGTCAGCACTGGCTCTTCAATATCTGTGGATACCATGTGTCCTTCCCTCTCCGACAATCATAGCCCAGTCAAGGAGGACCTGCCTCACAATGCTGATATAGATAAAATGAATGAACTGGCATCAAATGCCCGCCGAGAGCGCAAGGTCCTTGATCTTGAGATCAGTAATTCATCCTTGTTGGCAATCAACCGTACTCTTGAACGGGAAATGAGGAAGCAGAGTGCAGAGCTACGCCGCTACAGGCGGCTGACCCGATCTGGCTGCCTTTCCATGACGGAGTCTATTCCGTCTACCCTTGGACGACCGCGCTCTAATATTAATGCAACAGACGACGGTCGCAGTGATTTATCACTGATGGAGAACTCAGATGAGGATCTTTTAAGCTCCAGCGACGAAGAATCAACACATTCCCATACCTGGACTGCAAACATAAATGACACAACCGAACACGACTTAAAACATCGAATTGGAGATGAGAAACGTTTTTTACTTGACCTGACAAAATATCGACAACTTCTTATCGACAGCCAGCAGATGAATCAAAGTATCAGGCGCTGCCTGGGGTGGACTGAAAGTCTAATCCAAGAAGGCAAAAAGGCGCTGGACTATCATGTCCGTGTCAGCGACATTGATATTGGCGGCAGAGTTCTTGCGCCCGATGAGCTAGAAGGCGAAACAGAAGGTGGCCGTGGCCTGCTAAGCCCAACATCTGCGGTAGCTGAACTATATTCCCCACCGATGGCCAAGCACCCCACTCCTTCTGATATCAGGCTATCGGACTAACCCTTACTGCATCACTGCAGACGTATCACCATTTCTTTTGTGTTGTACCATACACCCAACTTAACCAGATATATTCTTTTACACTTCCTCTTCGTTTTTCTCATGTGCTATTTTTCCTTTATTTACTCCTTTTTGTCTACCGGTGGCCCTAGCGACAATTTGGGGGTATATATCCACTCCTTTGCCCCTCCCAGCTCCCTAACTTTTTTTTCATTCTGTTGTGTTTATAATCCCATTTTTTATTTTTTGTTTTTTTTTTTTTTATTTTTATTTTTTTTTTTCATTGGCGCTCCCTCTAGACTTGATATTGGATACCGGATGTCCCTTTTCGATCAATGTATATTGGCACAACCCTGCATACCGGCTGCTTGCTCTCCACTCCAGTGATACCCGCAATTTACTATTACCTGTCGATTCCAATGCAATAGGGAATTAAATTCGTTCAAATGCTCGTCATTATTAATATCATTTTCTGATCTCTGCCCAAATACAATACATCTCCGTGTCTACCAAATATATGCCAAGGAGTTGTTTTGGAGGCGGGGGGGGTTTTATTTAGAATTGACTGGGTCCAGGGGCAAGTGACGATGGAGAGACGATGATGTATTTCTAATAAGGAAGCCCCCGCCTACGTACACCCGTCAACCATATGCTTTAGTCCCATCGGGGCCATATCAGGGTCAGTTTGACGTATCCTGCTCGGAAAGCTCACGAGGCTCGCTGCCTGATTCTGCCTTTGGTTTTTTGCCATCTTTTTTCTTCGCATTCTTGGCTTTCTTAGCAGTAGCTTCCGCCATCAACTGTTCAAAAGCCATGTAATCACCCTCTTCTTCCGGGGTGCGTTTAGCCTGTGGACGCATTTGTCTGTTAGTGAATGTACTAGAAAATTTCTGTAGGAGGAATATGTGTATGGGTGGATATGAGAAAACGTGCCATTTGGTATATCCGCCCACTGAGAACAAGAGCATGGGCACGGTCAATACGTTTCTCCAAACGAACGGCTTTGTCGTTCAAGATCTTATCGCACACATCACGGAGAACGCTCTGGATCTCGAATTTGCTTCCACGCCATGCAGCTGCAAGCATCTTCCCTGTGACTATTTTGACCTGTTCTGCCATCTTCTCGTCTGTCCAATCTTCCCCGCCTCTCTCCTCAAGTTGAGCCATATGCTCCGCACTCATCTGGGCATCGACCATTGTAGAAACCGCGTGCCAGGTCTCTTTGGCCAGGGTGCCTTTGTCCTTCAGTCTTGACCAGAAACCAGAGATGCCCAGAAACTTCTGGGATTTCAGGAATGCAGTGCCCTTTTGTATATACGTCGTGCCGATCGCATGGAGGATTTCTAGGCCAAAGGATTCCATTTTGAGGTTTTCGACTTCCAGACGGATCTTCTCCTCAAACGCGCGCGTCACATCCGTGCCCATGTCAGTTTCTGTCCATATACTAATACGATCGATAAGTTTTTGGGAAAGGGTATTGATCCGTTCTTCCCGCTGCCGCCTTCGTTCCATCTCGAAAGCCGCCAATCGCTCCCGCTGTTCCTTGGTGAGACCGCCCTTTTTCTTCTCCTTCTTCCTCAACTCTTTCTCCTCCGCCGAGATATTCTCCATCCTCACATCCTCATCCGATCTATCCATGATCGCGTGTTGGCCCAGGTAGCGACGAGGGGTGTTATCTCCGGAGCTAGGACCTGACTGTGGTGGCGCATCAGCTGGAGGTGCTTTCAGATCTGGCACAGTCGTGGATTCTCTGCGATCTGTGGGGCGAGGGACGGAAGAACCTCCGCTGGTTCTTTCTGACGTAGGTCCCTGGGCCTCCTTGTCCTGTACACTGAATTTTTCCTTTGCGGCTTCTGCTAGATCTGCTTTTTCTGCTTGCTCATCCTCCTCTTCGTTCTGCATCGTGATATCCATGGTCTGGGTAATATCCTTCATGAGGGAAATTTCGCCAATGAGATCAACGAATGCGCCACCTCCAAAAATCATGCTGAAGAATTCCGCAGGATCCTCTGCAACTCTGCGTTAGATACAACGTAGGATTAAGTAGACATTTGCCGGCGCAATAGAACTCACCGAACCCACTATCAGGCACCGCATGGTCTTTACCAAACTTATCATACTGTTTCCGTAGCTGCTCATTACTGAGGACTTGATAGGCTTCACCGATCTGCAGAAGACCACGCAATGGTTAGAGCACTGCTTCGTTTTCGTTATATTTTCATTTAGTTTTATTTATTTTCTTTTATTTCTATTTTCAATCTCTTCCTTTTATGATTGCGGGAAAGAGGCGGGTATGAGCGAAAAAGGCAGAAGAAGGGAAGTGAACAAATACCGCCTGGAATCGTTCATGGGCAGTTTCATCTCCGGGATTCTTGTCTATTGCAGTGCTCTGCGTCAGAAAAGTAGCAAGGAAAAAGTTCAGCGGCAAACAGGGACAAAAAACGGGAAAGAGGGCAGCGCAAAGGACAAACCTGGATGAGTCGTTATGGCTAGCTTTCTATACGCCTTCTTAATCTGTATCTCCGTTGCATTTGTAGGGACGCCCAAGACGTCATAGTAGGCCGTGTCTGCCACCATATTGGAGCGGCCGGCGCCAGCAGCAAGGGGGGCTGAGTGACAGCCGATGCTTTTGTTTTTCCTTCTATCGGGGTCAAGAGAGCTGAGCAAAAAAAGCTAAAGGAAAGAAAAATATCTGGATAGACTATATGCAGAATATGCTGACCCCCACAGCAGCGACCATCTGCTGTCGTTAGATTCAACTGGCACAGGAGCAGAAGGCGACGCCCAAAACAACATAGGGAGGCTCTGCAGAACCAAGGGAACTAGTCCTCTTTGGGCGGCGGCTTCAGCCCACCCTCGTTTACTCAGCACAGAGCTTGTTATTTTACTAACTAACTATGTTTGGGACCGGAATCAACTCGCCGAATCTCCGGAACACTGCTGATGTAATCCGGCACATCCTCATGTTTTCCTCCGCCAGGTTCAACACTTCTTGTCCCATTTTTCTACCCCTGAATCCTCTCGCTCTCTCCCTTGTCTCCCTTTCCCCTCCCTCCAACTGGTTATTCATAATCTTCCCTCCTCAGTGCTCCAATCCTCCGGCTTTGGATCTAGGTTATTTTCATTCTGGCTTCGCTCTTGTCCCCTTGTACCACCCGCCCACCACAATGGTCGGCCTCACAGATGCAATATATTATCTCGTCCATCCTCAAGAACTGAGGTCAATCATCCAATGGTAAGCTCCTCCGGGTGCTCATCTCATCCCCGTCTACTCTTATCACAAATTGGTACTTTATATGACTCCCCACCAACCCCTCCCTTCTCCGGCATCCTCCTTGGCCTACCCTAATATATATAGACCTTTCCATGTCAGTGCCATTCCCCTATTGAGATCTCCCCCTTCATGTGCAGCTAAAGCAAGCCACTGTACATGCATTACCCGCAGCCTTCTGTACTAATTAATCCTGTAGGAAAGTGTGGCATAACCCTGTCCACGAAAGAGACGAGAAGAATGTGTCCGAAACGCAGAAAAAATGTTTCGAGTTCCTAGAACTCACCAGCAGAAGCTTCAGCGCCGTCATTATGGAGCTGCATCCTGAACTACTTCTCCCTGTCTGCCTGTTCTATTTGGCCCTACGCGGTCTGGATACTATCGAAGACGACACCTCAATCCCTTTACAAACAAAAGAGCCCCTTCTTCGCGACTTCCACAATATCCTGGAGAAGGATGGCTGGTCGTTCAATGGCAACCGACCTGAGGAGAAAGATCGCGAACTGCTAGTTCAGTTTCACAATGTTGTTACTGAATTCAAGCTGATAAAACCTGCTTATCGGACAATCATAAAGGACACCACCAAGAAAATGGGCAGTGGCATGGCAGATTATTGCAGGAAAGCAGAGTTGGATACTGCGAAGGTCAAAACGGTAAAAGAATATGACCTCTATTGTTATTACGTTGCCGGCATCGTTGGCGAGGGGCTCACAAGGCTTTTTGTGGAGGCTGGCTTTGCTAACCCGGCTCTCTTGGAACGTACTGAACTTTTCATATCTATGGGTTTGTTCCTTCAAAAGACAAATATCATCCGTGATGTAAAGGAAGATTACGTGGACAACAGGTGCTTTTGGCCACAGGAAATTTGGTCCAAACACGTGGATGACTTCGAAGACCTGTTCAAACGAGAAAACAGAGAGGCTGCCCTCAACTGTAATTCGGAGATGATCCTGAATGCTCTTGGGCACGCCGATGAATGTCTCTTCTATCTCGCTGGCCTGAGAGAGCAGAGTGTTTTTAATTTCTGTGCCATCCCTCAGTCAATGGCTATTGCCACTCTTGAACTTTGCTTCCGTAATGAGGCCATCTTTGAACGAAATATTAAGATCACCAAGGGCTCCGCCTGCCAACTCATGTTCCAGTCCACTCAAAATGTTCGCGCTATCTGTGATGTTTTCCGACAATACGGTCGAAAAATTCACAAGAAAAATACTCCCAAAGACCCTAATTTCCTCAAAATCAGCATTGCCTGTGCGAAGGTTAGTCGGATTCAGCGTTGTTCTTCCCTCCTGATTAATCTATAAAGTTTGCGTTGGGCTAATATATGTATATATGTATACTTTCAACTTTCTAGGTTGAAACTTTCATCGAATCTATCTTCCCGTCCCAAACTGTTGAGGGTGCCCAACGGAAAGCGAAACAAGAACCCAGCGCACAAGAAGCAGAACAAGCTCGACTAGATGCCGAAGCCCGACAAGACATAATGTACATCATGCTTGCCTTGTTCGGTATTCTGGCTATTCTTACAGCAATCATGGTATATTCACATATTTACTCCCTTTCGAAATTTTTTAATCTATTCGCTGACCATTCTTTTGAGATCTTTGCTGCATGGCTCATGGGAGCCCGCTTCGACCTCGCGTTCCAGCAAATTAAGCAAGGAAACCTTCGCCCTCCACCACGTATCTCAAATCATCAGGAACTGTAGGATATAACGAATACGATCTTTTCTTCTTTCTCTTTTCCGTTTCCTCATTTCAGCTAGACGAGCACTCCCTATACTATTCTATTCCAAATATAAATATCATCCTAATACCCTTGTTTGTATAATCCCCATATAAACCCTTCTTAAATTAGCTAACCATTCATTTCACCCGTTTCATCACTCCACTTGTGCAACTGCCTTTCTAGCCTACGATCCACTCAGGGGTACAGTGGCGTTAGCACGGATGTCAAATTACAACCCAGTCTTTTTTCCTTGGCTATGGTTGCGCCGAAGATGTGCTTATATCAACAATATTCTGTCTGCATTTAGTTGCGATAGACTTGCCAGGCGTACTAGGTTCTCGTCCCACTGCTTTCTGGCTCAAACCAGCTAGCAGAATGGCCTTTACCCATTGAAAACCGGGCGACACTGCTCAGCTAAATCCTATCCTACTTAAGAATGCCTCGGATTGCTGAGAATTATAATGATAAAATCAAATCCAATGTTTATTTCCACATGAATCACTTCACTGGTCCATAACTACACCTTGAACAAATAATGTAAATTGCGGTGTCCTCACTTTAGATTTAGTCCATAACTTACTCTTGTCGTAACCGGTTATGTCAATTAAGCCTGTAAAATCCCCGCATATCCGATCTCGGGAAATGGATCTCAGCCTTACCCCAGACAAAAACAGTCCCTATCCTCGCTTTTCGGCCCACTCCAAGAGTTTATTGGCACTTCTCTCCCCCTCTCCAAGTGTGTACACATATATCCATGTGATGAAATACTACAATCTTGCGGTATGAGTGCCCAACCAGATGTGCCGCCAGCGGTGTTGGGCAAAGCGGTCCGCAGCCTGGTCCAGCTTCGAGCAACATCTGCATGCCTCGCTTGCAACATGAAAAAGGCATGTTCACGTCCCTCATTCACGGTGCAAACAAAAGCAGACCTACACGGTTTAACAACAGAGAAACTTAGTATTGATCGCCCTCCGTCACTAACCTCTCCCTCAACCACTTGAGCAGATTCGTTGCATCTATCCAGAAAACAGTAAAGAATGCCTCAACTGTTCCCGCAATCACTGGGAATGCTCGTGCGTGCTTTGCCCTCTCATACCCACTCCACAGCATAGTGTTGATCGCATTTGATTTCTAGCCCTCGGGAACGGAAACGAAAGAGACGTAAGATTACTAGTACGACTGCAGATGTGAAGGAGCGTAGTCCAGTTGCGAAAGTACGGCAGCCTATAGTGACAAATGTGTCAAATGGGTTTTTTATACTAGTGTTACAATGTACACACACCTATCATATTCATTCTATTTGTAATTGAATAGGGCTTATTGATTGTTAGAAAGCAATGCATTGCTAGATATCATCTTCAATATATATCATCACTGTGATAAGATAACACTATAATCACTAGATTATCCAAAGTGAAAAGCCAACATAACCATTTGTTAAATGGTTGTGCTCATAGTGATATATATACCCATGGGTGTGGTGGTGTGGCCCGGCCCACAGTGGGTGTGGCCATGAACCAACCACTGAGACACTGCAACTGCCAGCTGCATCACTGGATATCATTGCTAGATATTATTGCTAGATATTATTGCTAGATATTATCACTAGATATTATCACTAGATATTATCGCAAGATATCATTGCTAGATATTATTGCTAGATATCATTGCTAGATATCATTACTAGATATTATCACTAGATATTATCACTAGATATTATCGCAAGATCTCATTGCTAGATATTATTGCTAGGTATCATTGCTAGATATTATCACTAGATATTATTGCTAGATATTATCGCAAGATATCATTACTAGATATTATCACTAGATATCATTGCTAGATATTGTTATGAATATCATCACTAAATATAATAAGCTAGTACTATGATAACTAGATTATTCATAGCAAAAAGTCAACATAACCATTTGTTGAATCATGGTGCTCAGAGTGATATATATATATATATATATTCATGGATCTGCTGTGGCCCAGCCCACAGTGGGTGTGGTCACTGAATCCATTATCTATACACTGCAACCACCAGCCCATAGTGTGGAAACATTGACGATGATATCTCGCAATGATATCTAGCAATAATATCTAGCGATAATATCTAGCAATGGTATCTAGCAATGGTATCTTGCGATAATATCTAGTAATGATATCTTGCGATAATATCTAGTGATAATATCTAGCAATGGTATCTAGTGATAATATCTAGCAATGATATCTAGCGATGATATCTAGCAATAATATCTAGCAATGATATTTAGCGATAATATCTAGCGATAATATCTAGTGATAATATCTAGCAATGGTATCTAGCGATAATATCTAGTGATAATATCTAGTAATGATATCTTGCGATAATATCTAGCGATAATATCTAGTGATAATATCTAGCAATGGTATCTAGCGATAATATCTAGCGATAATATCTACAATGACATAAATTCACTGTTTTAAAATGTATGTAGAGAATTCAAGGTGCATTGCTTTCTAGTATAAAATTTCTATCAATGAGTGTCTGTAAGTGGAATTAAGTAATTACAGTGGAAAACATCAAAAAAACCCATTTGACACATTTGTCACTATAGGCTGCCGTGGAAAGGGAACAATGACCCCTGGTCTCAGCCCTCATCGCCAAAGCAATCTGCTTTAGATTCAAAAGTGGCAGCCTGGGATGCCTACCAGCACGTCAGCACCACCACCGGAAATGGCCCGTCAGTAACTGCAGGGTCTTCCCCAGGCCGAGTCACCCCTTCCAACTCCCATCTTGCCCCTCCAACATCTGTCCTCCGCGAAACAGATAGAGCAACTCTGTACACCAACACAACATCCAGCGTCCCTTTACCACAGCTGCACGAGTCACGTTCATACGATGAGAGTCCTGGCGCTTCAAGTTTTCTCGGACGATCAGAATATCTACGCGGCGAAGTCCCCATCAATGAAAACCGGGCAAAATCGTACCCCGCAGTCGCGTCAGAGAGTTTGACGGAAGAGGATATTCGTATTTTGCAGCTACAGCACGCCTTCGATTTACCACCACGGGCTGTTAGAGAAGGGCTGATTGACGCGTTCATGAAGCGTTGTGCGCCATGGATGCCTATCGTTGAACGAAGCTGGCTGGCTGAGGGCCACGGAAACCAACCGTCGTTACTGCTCCTCCAAGCGGTATTCCTTGCAGGTAGCAGAGTGTCATCGGCTCCAGCAGTGGCTGCCTATGCATCACCAAACGAATTCTACCGTCGGGCTAAAGCCTTGTTCTGGTCAGGTTATGAAAAGAACCCGGTTACTATGATTACTGCGGTGCTTGTAATGCATTGGTATAACCCTGAGGGGCCGGAGCATATTTCTCTTAATACCAGTGGTTTTTGGAACCGCATTGGAGTTGGCCTAGCGTTTCAGATCGGGTTGCATAAAGAACCACCACCAGGACGAAATGCGGCGCTTCGTCGACGATTGTGGTGGACTTTATATGTTAGTGCAAATCGATTTTAAAATTTTTGGACAGCTTGAGTCAGGGCATTTGCCTCTCTATGAAAAACCCCTGTCAATATATGATAGGACGCCGTAACTAATTTGTTCAATTGTAGGCAAGAGATTGCTTAATCTCAGCAAGTCATGGGCGGCCTCGCGCCATAAATCCTGACGACTGCGATGTCCGACCTCTTTATAACGGAGACTTCTACGAGTCGACGGCAGATGGTCCCATGTTTATTTCATACGTAGAACTTGCTTCCTTATTGGGTGACCTAACGCAATGCTGTTGCCGCAAGTATTTATCACGCCAAAAACGTCAATATATCGAGGGTGCACTCTATCGGTGGACTCGAGAGCTTCCCGAACATTTACAGCTCTTCCGGCGAGCCAGTCCCAATCAGGGCACCTCCCCCAAGCTAGTGCCGGCGCCGTACAGCTTCGAAGCCCGTCAGTTACACGTTCTGTATTTCGTAATTCTCGCCATTCTTTTTCGAACGACACCACCTGCAAGCACACCCTCTCCGGCAGCGGTGCTCGCGTCATCCTTCGTTGCGGGTATTTTTGAGGATTTCCTGGCTCGAGACGAAATCCGTTTTCTTGGTCCAGAATTTACCTTTTATGTTTTAGCCTCGGGAGTAGGACTTTTGTCGTGTTTTCCATACCCACACCTCTGGGCCAAGGCTGAGCGAGATCTCCGCATCATATATAATTCTCAAAAAGAACTCTCAACCAGATGGCCTTCCGCAATTGGCAGTTTAAATGCGCTACAGAGCATGAAGGCGGAGGCTAGCAAGACCCAACGACACAAGGATGCGCAAATGATTGGGAGCCTCGCTCCAGAGCAACTGTCATACTTCAGCGGTTTTGGTACGGATTTGTGTCGGATTGGAGAAGCCATTTTGACACACCATATCCAGGACCTTTTGGGCCCGCGAAGAATCTACGACGACCAATCCTCACGTAGTGCGTCTGATATGATGACGGCGGGGATCTTAGCAGAGTTAAAAACTCCAATAGCCGGCCCTACAGCTTTGGACGGATACCAACCCCTAGCTACCATTCTTGAGCATCACCCGATGCAGAGCGCGTCCAGTAGGGTCACCACGGATATCACTGGTGATATTTTTTGCGGCCAATACGCAGGGATTGGCGACTGGCTTCTGAAAGACTGGGACTGGAATAGTGCTATAGCTTGGTAAATTTATTCCTGGTTTCCTGAACGTCGGTTGCCCACACTCTGCGTTCAAATAGCACACGATCAAAATATTCTAGGATAGCGCATCTTTTCTCCCGTATCAGAGGATTGTTATGTTGTTTTGCAATCAGTTGTGCGATGCTGCCACCTTGCCGCCAAAACGGCTCGGCATTTCGGGAATCCGGCAAAATGCCAACCCAATCCTCCGCCGGCCTGCGCTACCTACATAGTCTTTGTTTTCCCCTGCAATACGGGAAAGAGAAATTCAGTGACATGGCTAATACGATCCGCTGCTCCATCTCGACCCGCTAATATTTTCCTGCCGCTTATCCAGCTACATACTCCATTGAGTTATAATTTGCAACATTACGTACTCTGCGAAACTGCCTTCATATCATTATTCTAACAAATGACCGAGATCCTCAACGTTCGCAACCCGTCTTACGAAACATGGTAATGTTTTCGTCATTACCATGCAGAAACCGCCTGAAAACCGATTGAGTTCTTGCTTTTTCCAGGAAATCATCCCGGGCTTTCAACACGGTGCATCGCATTCTTGGTCCTAACGCTGAGGGGGCGGTTATAACCAGGGCAAGCGATTCCAAGTTCTGGTGCACTGTATATGGTCAGCGTGAAAGCGATCGCCGATTCTTGTATATATTTTCTTAACTAGCCTATTTGTAGGGTCTTGAGCTGGATGAAGGACCAACCCTTTCGCCAAATGTAGATGGATTCTACACGGTATCTGGACCTTTTTTGATGACGAATTCACCCTGACCGATTCCGATCTTTCCGTTATGTTTTTCTTGGATGTCGAATCGTCAATTGGGACAACCTTCCAAGCCTAACAAAGACAACGCCAATCCAGATGTTACATTCCATTCTAGATTTTCCATATCCCACAACCAACCCCCTGACAGGTCACACGTTTGGGGGCGGCCGCCCCTTCGCCCTGAGCCACGATTACCGTGTGATAAACTCAGCCCCGCAGTTTCTTTTCTATGCCGCCCGTGAATTGAGGTCTTCATTTCGACGGCATTGGATCTCTCCCAAGCCTCAAACTTGGTGCACGAGTTGCTCGTAAGATGCTGCTTGAAGCCCACAAGTGGACAGGCAAGGAAGCTTTTGATGGTGTTATTATCGATGTCGTTGTTGAGCCAGAGCGAATGTTCGATATTGCCATGGAGCTATCAGAGAAATGAGCGCCGAAAACGAAGATGGGGTATGTTTACCCTTTTCGTTTGGTTTTATTTTTCTCTCCATTCTCTTTCTCTAGAACAGTGGTTTGAAGTTCGAGTAGCGATTAACTGAAATGAAAAATTGTGGCGTTTATGGTGTCATGCGTTCTGAACTGTGGGGAGGCGCCATTAAAAAATTCCAAAGGATCAGCTATTTGCACAGTCGCGAGACGAGTAGGGCGACTAAAGTCAGGATATAGGATTAGCAAAGGTTAAAACTACCTTGCTATTCCCATCTTATATAATGCACATCCAACTCTAAAATACTATTTTATGATTCGTGCTGGAGCTCCCCTTCAGCCTCATGGATGGAATGACAGACGAATGTCGAACTGAGCAAATTTAGACGTCCAGGTTATAAGTTTACATGTGTCTATCTCCTCTGCTTCCAGGGCCATAATTTTGCCATTTATTCCTAGCTTCAATTTAACAGTAGATCTATCGAAAAGTCTGCAAAATAACATGTGTAGAAATGGCAACTGCAAAACATGAAACATACATGTATATATGCTACATCATCTATAATCTTGGATCTGGGACACTCTGCTTAACTGGTGACCATATTTGTGCATCCGGATGCTGTTTATAATCCACTGGAAAAAACTGAGGGCCTAGCACCCCTTTCACCACCTTCCCTATGCCAGTTTTCAGAATTCCATGCACCACTACTCTCAATAGAGTGGGAATTTTATAGTCAGCCAACTTTCTCCGTCGGTCAGCGCGTAGATCATCCAGTGTAAAATACTTCCCAACCCAGCCGTTTCCCGGACACTTGTAAGTGGTCTGCTCAATTTTTAAACCTACCACAGCAGCGACACGCGGGCTGAATTCGTCAGCCAACACACCGACAAATCATCACCTGGGAAACGTAGGGAAGGTCAAGAATCTCGCGTTCAATATCGAGAGCGGATATTTTATAGCCACCCGTTTTAGTAATGTCAATGGAAGCGTGGCCGGGAATAAAATAGTTGCCTCCCTTCACGGCGGGCAATATCACCAGTTTTATAAGGCCATCTGCATCATGGGCCTTGGCTGTGGCGACCTCGTCGAAAAGGCATCTATAAAAACATTACTAGTTACGCGGCAAAATTTGAGAAATTCAATTGCAGGATATAAGAGGTTTCATACTTCGAAAACATGTACGGACCCTTTATCAACACCTCTCCCTGGTGACCTTCTGAAAGCGTAATCGTTAAGACTGGTCCGACACTGCCGGGAGGAACAGAATCTGAATCAATCGAAGACGTAAAAACCGGGCCGATTTCAGTTGCGCCGTATCTGGACAATATAGTCTTGCCATCAAGTATTTTTGTCCAGAATTCCTGAACAGAGGTGGGGAGAGCAGAGGTTGCACATAGCAGGGCACGGAACTGGCGTGTTCCGACAAGATACTGATCAGTCTCATGGGGCTCCATGCCTGCTATCTTTTTGCTCAAAGTACCGCATCACTCCCATATAGATAGTTGGTACACCAGAAAAGATATGCAATCCGCCCTTCTTCCAATGCTCCCATGACCAACCCATATCGAAGCGCCGCTACGAAACTCAACACAGGCACCTGAGTATATGTAAGAGAGGAAATCAATTCCGATCCCTGTTGCATGGTGAACAGGGAGAACGTGAACAATCACGTCATTTTCGGTGACGCCAAAATGGTCAGCGACTGCTCCTGAGGTGTCGTGGAGATATGCTCTCATCATCACTGCTCCCTTCGGAGGGCCGGTCGTTCCGGATGTGAAAATAACCACGCCTACGCCATCGCCATCGAGATATTTGTCAGATGAAGGCGCGATATCACCCGGGGATAGGGGCACATACCAGGAAGTGCCCTGCTATATCAACGCAACAGATCTCTTTTCCTGTGAATTTCTTGATATGGGCAGATAGCTGTTGCGCTAAAGTTTTTTCACTGGATGACGAGAGAAGAGCAACACATCGGGATCTGGTCGTAAAGAATACAGCCTCTTCGATAGGGAATAGAATAGCTAAGACGTTTCCATCAGCACAACGCTTTTATTTTGTGGAAATATATATGGGATCAATTCTTAACTCATAGGGACCACCACGGCGCCCAGGGCGCATGTCACAACAAATCTAACAGCATACTCATAACTGCCGGGGGCAATAAGTGCAATGTGTATATATCTTTACCAGCCCACAATACTTTCATGATTTCCAGCGAAAGACTTGACCACAGTACATTCTGTCCAGCAAGCATGCCACTGAGAAACTCAAAGTACGTTTTCTCGATTGAAAGACTAACATCCCTAATTGCTATACGCCGCGATTTCCGGTGAGCGTACCGAAGAATCTTGAAAAGAACGGAGACAATGGAAGGATATTGTCACCAGTGTGTGGGGTAAAGAAATCCGTCCGCTCGAATCTCATTTTGTGATCCTCAATGCACAATCTCCCAGCACATGTACGTTTCCGGATGGTAATTATTTCCTGCTCCCATTTGATGCAGGCTCCGCATTTTTTATTGCTACTAATAGAAATGCCGACGTCCTGTGGTAAACAATAGGGGTGAAGTCTGGAGGCCGGCAATGAGGATAGCCGAGCGCTGGGATTTCGGCATGAAACAGATAACTAGTTAACAAAGCCGGGTCCACCTAGCTGAGTGTCCCATCATCAGCCGTGCCAACACCCAATATGACTGGCAAACTGTGAAAAACAGCTCAAATGACATCATGGCTATCCTTTTATCTCGTTCTTTTGGGTTCCGTTACGCTTATTTGAAGTTTTTTAAGTTACTTTGCTTAATACAATGAGAAAAAAATCTCATTGGAATCGATCGTTTTTCGTTAGTTAGCACTAGTATATATTTCAAGCCTGGTGACTGCTTACATAACAAGCCGCAACCTTTGCGGCTTAGACGCCAAGCCATACCCCCGCCCGATGGTGTTGGTGGTTTCTGGTACTAGTTACTTCTTTATATGTGGATAACCCACCGAATTTCAAGTCACAATGACATGCTGGGTACATCTCCCCCTCAACTTTCTTGTTTCGTCAAATGTCGACAAACCTCCAACCTCGAATGTGAAAACTCATCCCTGACAACAACAACAACAACAACAACAACAACAACAACATCATCATCATCATCATCATCATCACCACCGCCATCACCCCCCTTCTAGCCACCGATTTCTATCTGCTTCATTCTCCTTGATGCAGATACTCGATGCTGCCCCTCCTCCCGAGTGTTCTTTTATCTTTTCCCAGTCTTCAGCGGCTCGCAGTTCTTTTCCTTTGGTTTCCTGTTGAGATCTACCCGGTCTTATTTCACCCTGCATAGAGCCTCTTATATCTAGAAAGCATTTAACAAGATATCACCTATACCTCTGATATCTCACACTAATGAACTCCGCCTTCACGGACGATCGCTGTTCTCACTCTTTCTTGGTATGCCATCGCCCCGAAAATCTAACCCTGTGGTATTCCGGGACCCTTTGCACCTGACCTCTCCTGACGCCTCGTGCTTTATCAGCCAATATACCTTTGCGTCCATTTCATAGTAAAGACTTCTGAGATACGCCAAAATCTGGCGTACTCTTTCTTGCCCATCCTGACACCTCCTTGATTCATCAACCAACGAGTCTCTTTTGACACGATGCTCTCGACCATGACACCCCCTCCTCTTCTCTCCGTCGGCTCTATCGCGGTTCCTTCATCTCTATCTTGTATATCTCGCCCGAAATCAGTGCAGGATACTGTGTACGAGCAGCAGGATTTGACTCTCAAAGAACTCCATCCCCACCACAACCACCACTCCGACTATGAGGAATCAGAAATGCAACACCACCAACAGCTCCAACAGCAACCCAATTTACTACGCCAGCCTCCTTCGGTCGAGCTGGAAATGTCTGAACTTGCGATACCGAATTCCACTCATCCACACAGAATTCTCTTCGGAAACCTGCCAATCGAGATTCATGAGGCGATCCTAGACCATCTCTTTGGTGTACGTGGCTCCACCCTGGCTTCCCTATCTCCCAGCAAATCGCGCCCAAATAGTTGGAGCAAGGCCCTCCGACATCCTCGCCGAAAGGCTCTCTCAAATCTGGCCCTGGTATCCTCTCAATGGCGACCTTTAGTGCAGGAGCGAATCTATCGACATAGTAGGCATCCCTACCCTCCTAAGCATATACCGCCATCATTGATGCTAACAGGCGCTTCCACTGTTTCCTTTCTCTCTTCCTCTTTTAGTTCAGGTCAAAGGCACCTCTGATGGGCTACTCGAGTGCTCTGATTGGTTTTTGTCAAACCCACATCTCTCTTCCTACGTCCGTCATATCGAAATATGGGTGCCTGTATGGGGGGATCGAATGCCAAAGAGCCGCCCGCGACATTACTATCGCCCCCACGACGGAACCGAAGACTCGAACCTCGCCAGTGTAGCAGCTGTGCTTCAAGCGACTGTCGCTACTTTCGACAATACTTCAAGTAATGGCTCAAATAGCACCAATTTTAGATTCTCCAGCTGCAATGCCACGTTGCAACAAATATTTTCTCACGTTTCCTACTTCTTCCCCCACGCTCGGATCTTAACGTTGGAAGGTGGCCATTGCAAGAAGCCACCAATGATCAGGCATTTTGATAATGACCCGTGGGGTCAATCCGGCCATGAACGTCTAGAAGTGCTGCCCAATATTCAAACTTTTGTCATGAGAGGGGCGTGGAATATCATGAGGGATTACCAACACTGGTGTAACCTTACCAGGGCATTGCCTAATCTGCGTGAATGGGACTGTGCCTACGCGAAACGAAAACTCGAAGCCAATGTCACTTTAGCCAAAGCTCTTACCAACTTCCCCAGAACAATTACCCGATTGGACTTAAGTTTGGAAGGCTTCTACAATAAAGAAAGTTCACATTCGCGCTGGTTTGGTATAACACATGCAGATCCTCACCTCTGCCAATTGTTGGGCGCCGTTGCACCCCAGTTAGAATGCTTGACCTTTACTGGCAAAGTTTGTGCATGTTTATTCACCGACGCACGAGCGGCCATGCTCACAAACCACACAACCTCAAGGCTGAAATCAGTTGATCTTGTAGTGAAATCATGCTGCCGAGAACAACGTTCCCACGATGATGGCTCCCCGATGCTCAATGATCTATCCGGCATTACCAATATAAATTTCATCAACTCGTTCGAGAAGCTGGTGGTCGCTGCGGCCATATCGTTGGAAACATTCGTCACCCTGAAATATGTGCGTATTCGGTTTATTGATCTTGATTCCGCCAGTCCCCTCGGTCTTCTCAATCCATATTTTCAGCTTGTGAACAACAAATGTATTGGCTTGTGGAGTGAAACTATCCTCGATGCGCTACACGCGGCCCGACCGCATGCAAAATTTGAACTGCTCGACGATGGCATACTACCCCAATATGGAATCAATGTTCAAACCGCATCGAGGGTGTTTCCTCGCACACGACCGCTAAGTATCAAGGCAAGTTCGTATAAGATCATCGCTGACAAATCAAAGCTATGATGAATCCAGCCTAAGTCCCCTGGTTTCCAGCCATATTGTCTTTCCGTTGTTTTCCTTTCCTTCACGCCTTGCGTTTGTTTTTGTTCCTTTTTTGAGATCTATTTTTACTATTTTCTTCCGCGTCCTAATCTGTGCTAATATATTTCCCTTTCGAAACCTGTGCGGCGTTCAAGCTCAGCTTTGCCAAATGTGTTATCTCTTGTTTGCTTAATCTCTTTTCGTTGCGCAGCTTTTATTCAGTTTGCGGGTGCTGGAGGTCTCCTTTCTAGAGAGGTGATTTCTCCTGACTTCCAGCGTGGCGTTAGGATTGCCCATTTCAACTTCAATGAAAGGCCTCTTTTACTTTTATAATTACCAAAATACAGCCAATGCCTGGTTGAAACTTGGCTTGATACATTAATTATTCTAAAAGTTCGACATAGAGCGCATCGTATGGAAGGAACATCACGAGTAAAATAACAAACAA